TCTTAATCATGAACACTGGAGAATTCCAGGGTGAAGTAGAGGGCTCGATATGGCCTGCTTCTAATTGCTCTTCTATTAGAGTCTTTAAAGCCCCTAATTTTTCTTTTGGTAATGGCCATTGCTCAATCCATACTGGTGTCTGCGTAAGCCATTCCAGGGCTAAAGCGCGGGGCTTATGGGGAGCAGTGGCTACACGTTTAAAGTCTGAGATGGAAGAGGGTTATATCCCATTTTGAACATCATGTTCTTAACCTGGGGGGAAAGGCAAGGGATACTAAGGAACGCTCCTCCCAAAAGGTTAGTACTAATATCCCCCATGTAAAAAGAAACAGTAGCCTCTGGTCTTCAGGTCCCTCACCAATTAAAGGAGTCAGGCTCCGTCGAATTTCAGTTGCTTTTCCTAACCCAGATAATGTTGTATCTACTTGTTTTGTTGGCCACTCAGGAGGCCAAAGGGCAGAACTAATTACTGATATGTCAGCCCCGGTGTCCATAAACCTTCAAAAGATCGCGGATTTATTTTTAATCTCAAGGCAGGACGAGCATCGTTGATGAACGTTTCCCAGAAAACCTTTTCCCCTGTAATCCCAAATCCTCGCATCAGCTTGATGGGAGGAAAAGAAGCATATGGGAGTAATAATAGCTGAGCAATGCGATCACCCTCATGGACGGTCAGAGTGGTTAACACTCGAGCCATAATTAAAATTTTTCCAGCACAAACAATATCTATAACTCCTAGCTGGATAAGTAACCCTTTCATGGTGGAGCTGCTTTGGCTGATAATAAGCCCCACAGTGTGAGCAGGAATAGGACCATAAATGCCAGTAGACAGTTTATAAATTCCCCTTCCAGGGGAGAGGGTATATGTTTGACTGATTGCAAGGTCAGCAGCAGCACGACCTCTAGTTGTTGCTCTCAAATCTTTCACTGTTAAAAGTTGCTCTGCTGAGGTCACTTGTGAGCCAGGCCTTTGCTCATTGGATGTTGTTGAAATTGAGCATTAGGGGCAAAGCTTTGCCTAGTGAAGAGAAAGACTGAAAAAGGATCCTCAGGCAGTGCAGGAGGCCTTGGGGGGGTCCCTTTTCCTTTTTAGTGTCAAACAAAGAAGGCAAAGGAAAGTCATTATCATCCCATTTATGGCCTACCCCAGGTATGGCAAATGCATCACGGTATCTGGGTGGAGGAGGAGGAGGGAGCAGAGACATGGGAAACGCTTGAGGTAGCAAAGGAGCTGAGAGGTGAGCCCGAAATTGTCCCCAAAACTTCTTCATTAGATCAATCAACTCCTGCATTTGATTCTCCTCCTGTCCCAGAGACTCCTTATCGGAGGCGTTATCTAGGGGAGGAACCTCAGCATAGACTCTCTCCTCTCATTCTTTCTGACCTCTATTTCCTTTGTTCGGCTCTTCCTCCCCTTTCTCAGGATCTGTTTCTAACCATTGCAAAGCCTGCCTAATAGCATTGCAGAGTCACCACAGCTTTAAACCCACAGTTCGACCTTGCTGATGAGCGGTGCGTAACGCCTTGACAACCTGTTGCCACGCTCCAGAATTTAATTGTACCGTTTGCTGACAATGACACCGATAACATGTATCGTTTACAGGAACAAACAGTCTAGTCCATAGTTGCTCTTTCACTTCTATACCCGTAGAACGTAGTAGTCCCCGAATTAACTTACAATACTCTTGTTCAAGAGATGAGGAATTCGTCATGGTTAATTCTCCATTGATTCCGGAGGTCCTCTGTGGGTCATCGCTAACTACCCAAGAGCGTCCGGCTCTGGTTCCCTTCTCCCGTAGCTGCCCCACATTTGGTGCCACTTGTAGCGGTTGCTTTATAAGTTGAAGAAGGGAATGAACACAGAACACAAGACACACACAGACAGGACATGGCTGCAGCCCCGAGTGCTTGCAGCCGTTTATTTTTAAAGGCAAAAGTTTGGCAACCTGCCCTGCTTACTTAGCAGCTTTAGTGGACTTTGTTCCTCATTCTTTCCTTGAACCCTTTATCTGAATAACACAGTCCCTTGTCTGTTCACGTGCTGTTCTTAGTAAGAATGTTCCCAGAAAGGTCAGTGCGTGCAACTGCTCCTTCAGACTCCCTGTTTGCAGCACAGGAGCTCCTGAGCTCGTTTGCAAAGCTTCAGGCATGATCGTGGGAACACGATAAGGTTCAGCCTTTGGCAGCTGCCCTTAGTTGTCTTCAGGATGTGGGTCTCACTTTTGTGATGCTCAGAACTTCTTCACTGGCATCAAGCGGATAATTGACTGGAGGGTTTCAATAGTGGATCAGAAGACACTGTTTCAGTGTCACTGTCTGTCCACAAAACAGGCACGATGAAGACCCCTCAGGGAGGGATATATGCCCAGGTGAACTACTCATGATCAAGACTCAGACAAGGAATGGGTACCTCTACTTCCTCCCTGGATAGACAAGAGGAAGAGGAGCAACAGATGGATAGTCAGCTGGGCCCCATCCCCTTCAGACATTCAGGCTTCTTCCAACCCAACTATGTTTCATCCCTTTCACTCTCCCCCTGCTCCAGGCTGCTGCATCTGATGCCCCCCAGGATGTGACCTACTCTCAGCTGAACCTCTTGGCCCTCAGTCGGGACAAGTGCACCCCGTTTCTCCCCATCAGATGAGCACCCAGCAGAGCCCAGTGTGTATGCTGCTCTGGCCATTCCTTAGCCCAGGAAAGACCCAGACCCCACATTTCAGGAGGGGTCCTGCAGAGACCACAGAGGGCATAGGAGCTTCCCCCATGGACATTCAGCTAGTGACCCCGCCCACCCTGGAAACCAGACCTGGATCACTAGAAGCTCCTGGGGCCCTCTGAGAGTCCACTGATTCTGAAAATAAAGATACTTACTATCCCTACCATTTCAACAGTCTTTGCAATAATCAATGTGTACATTTAGAAATAAAACAGAAGTGAGATGAAACATACACATCCTGTATTATAGAAAGGTGCACTTAAATAGCCTACATAATCTTATTAACCAATGTCACTCCAATAAATTTAATAGATATTTTTAAATCAGAGAGAGAGAGAGAGAGAGAGAGAGACGGAAGTGAGAGAGTGCTTTAAACGAATGATAATGTAACTATTACACATTAAACCTATAAAATGGAAAATTAAGAACCACAAATTAAACCTGCTGGTGTGGCTCAGTAGATTGAGCATCTTCTCCTGGATTGAGAGGCCCTGGTTCGATTCCTGGTCTGGGCACATGCCCACATTGCAGGCTCGATCTCCAGTAGGGGGCGTATAGGAGGCAGCTGATGGAGGTTTCTCTCTTACATCAGTGTTTCTATCTCTCTCTCTCCTCTTTCTAAAAATATCAAAAAACATACTGAAACAAAAGGAAACATAAATGAATATATTAGCAAAGAAAAGGTGAATGCCCGGCCGGTGTGGCTCAGTGGTTGAACATCAATTCATGCACCAAAAGGTCACCAGTCAGAACACATGTCCAGGTTGTGGGTTCAATCCTCTGTGGGGGGCAGGCAGGAGACAGCCAATCGATGTTCTGTCTCATCAATGTTTTTATCTGTCTCTCCCTCTACCTTCCTTGCTCTAAAATCAATAAAGAAAATAAATATTTTTTTTAAAAGAAAGAACTGGTAAAGACATAGAAACAACCTAAGTGTCCTTCAATCAATGACAGAATAAAGAAGTGGTAATATATACAATGAGATATTATTTCACCATAAAAAAGTGAAATACTTCCATTTGCCACAACATGGATGGATCTTGAGACTATCATGCTAAGTGAAATGAGTCAGACAAAAAAAGGACAAGACCCATATAATTTCACTCATATGTGTGAAATCTGAAACACTGAATGGTCATGTATATTAGATATATTGTATCTATGATTAAAACTTTTCCTGCCAAATGAACTCAGTCTAGAAAGCTTCTTTGGTGAATGCTTTCAAACACTTAAGCATGTCTGAAATACACACACACACACACACACACACACACACACCCCCCAAACATACACAAGCTTCTCTTAGAATAGAGAAAAGAGGCATGTGCCCCAAACACACTTTATCAGGCTAGAAATAATCTGATACCAAACCAAACATGGAAGCAAACAAGTGGGAACATCACAGGAATCTCTCTCACATGAACCTAGGAATAGAGTCCTAAACAAAATATTCAAACAAGACTCATCAACATGTAAAAAGGATAATCTATCATGACCATGCTGGCATGTGTTTTCAGGAATGCATAGTGGGTTTTATATTAAAAAATTTTAATCAATAGAATTCATATGTTAAATGAAGAAATAAAAAAAGGGATCATATCAACAGATGCAAAGCTTTTCTTAAAAATAAAGCACTAGCCCTGGCCGGTGTGCCTTAGCACTTAGAGCATCAGCCCTCACGCCGAAGGGTTGCAGGTTTGATTCCTGGTCAAGGGCATGTACCTGGGTTGTAGGTTTGATTCCAAGCTCCAGTCAGGAGGCATGTGGGAGGCAACTGATCGATGCGTTTCTTTCATATTGATGTTTCTCTCTCTGTCTCAGTCTCTTTCTCTCTCTCTTTCTCCTCCTTTTTCTCCCTCTCTTCCTTCTACTGTCTCTAAAAACAACCCATGGAAAAGATATTTTTAGGTGAGGATTAACAACACTAACAAAAATACACTGCTAATTTATAATTCACAAACTCCCCAGAAATCAAAGGAAATTTTCTATCATTTATCAAAGCATCTTTGGGAATCTTTATTAAAAAAATAGTTTTTAAGGTTAAAAACTTGAAAGTATTTTTCCTGCAATTGATACTGTGACAAGAATATTCACTATGACCACTTCCATTCAGCACTGCAAGAACCAACCAATTAAGTAAAAGAAGGGGGGTGGATGATAAGGACTGAATGGATGGAATAAACTATCATTCACAGATTACAAATTATGTGCATAGAAAATTCAAAGTAATATAAATGTCTATGCTGAGTATATCATTAATATATAAAAATCATTTGCATTTCAGACTTCCAGTTTTAGACCAAGAGAAAATAGAGGTAAGTATCTAACAATCCCACCATTCCATAAAGCAGAATAAAGCTACTGGACATTGCATATACATCAAACATAAAAACACTTCAAAAAATAGAGAGAGGCAGTAGACACGCTAAGACTGTTAAGACTCCATGACACAGTGGTGTCAAAGGAGGCCACGTAAGGTACCTGGACTGTGTCTTCCACCTGGCAGTAACAGGTCAGTAGCCCAGCCGTGTGTCAGAAAATGCCTTCTATAATAGAAGATCCAGACACTCACAACACAATACACAACATGTCCAGGTTTCAATTTTTAAAAAGTAACTTGCTGTCATGAGAACCAAGAAAAATCTCATCTTGAGTGAGTAAAAACCATTAGTAACAGATGCTTAGCACCCAGATGACACAGACATTAGAATGATCTGACAAGGATTGTACATCAGCCATAATAAAAATTATTCATGAACAATTACAAACATGCTTAAAGAGAATCCATAAAAGAGAAAGTCTCAGCAAAGAAACAGAAGTTATGAAGAAGAACACAATGGAAATTTTACATCTCAAAAAAAAAATCAATAATATAAATAAAAGGCCCCATGGATGCATAAGCCCAACAGCAGAATGAAGAGGATAAAAGGAAAAAATGAGCCTGAGGAGAAAACAAGAGAAATTAGTCTGGAAAACAGGGAGGAAATAAACAGAGGAAGAAAACGAGGAGAACCTCAAGAACCTGTGGGGTGGTAAGAAAAGCTCAAACATCCATGTGGTCAAAGTCCTAGAAGCAGAGAGTGAGACTTATACTACTCAAGAAATAATGGCTGGAATTCCCCAAACCTGGCAATAGTCATAAGCCTACATATTCATGAACATGGGTGAAGCCAAGGAGGATGAATCCAAGGACATCCACACCTAGGCACATCATAAGCCAACTAAGTGAGAAAAGAGACAAAGAAGTTTCTTGAATGCATGAGACAAATGCTACATCACCTACAGAGGGAAAACCTACTTGAATGACAATGAGTTTCTCACCAGAAACTGGGGAGACAGGAGAGAAAAGATACAATTTCCTAGAGCTGTAAGAAAAGAACTGTCAACACTGAATTTTATAACTGGTGAAATTATTCTTCAGGAATAAAGGGGAAATAAAACATTCTCAGGTGAAGGAATAATGAAAGGATTTATCACAAACTGACCTCCCGTGAATGAATGGCCACAAAAAGTTCTTGCCCCGAAAGGAAATGATAAGAGGGGAATCTTGGAACAACAAGAAAGAAGAAAGAATGAAGGAAAGAGGGGAAATGTGGAGACTAGTACAGTGCCAAGGACAGAAAGTCACAACTGCCCAGTTATCCTTCCTCCATGAGCACTCGCCTCGTATCATGTCCAAATTGCAACGGAAACAAACAAACATGCAATATCATCCAATGATGTTTGAGAATATGTTGTTAACCTACTAACATCTTCAGAACTAAAAATAAAGTTTTCCATGAATACCCAGAGCTCACGTGGGGACAAGACTGTCTAAATATCATAAAGAACTGTGAAACCCTTGGAGTCATCAAGACAGCCCAAAAAAGCCATGCCCTAGGAGTTAGGAGTTAGGACAAACTAGCACTGAATATGTGTAATACGACGTTTTGGGGGATAGGCTGAACTACAAAGTGATTTGATTGACTTCCAATAAGGAGACAATAGATCAATGTATCTCTCTCTCTCTCTCTCTCTCTCTCTCTCTCAAAATGAATGAAAACATATTGTTGGATGAGTATTTTAAAAAATAATGATAATTATCTCACTTATTTGTGGAACATAATGAATATAACTGTCTGAGGAACAGGGTAAACTCAGAGACGTGGAATTAGGGTACAGACTGACAAACCTCAGAAGAGGGGGTGGGGGGAGGGAACAGATAAACCACAGAACTTATATGCATGTATGCATAACCAATTGATACGGACAACAAAGCTGGGGATGGGGTGGGTGGGATGGAGAGGAGGGTGTCAATGGGGGAAAAAAAGGAGAAACATCTATAACAAAAATAAATTAATAAAAAATTGTCCATGTTCATGCATACAAGCATGTAAGTTCTGTGGTTTATCTCTCCCCCATCACCCCCTAAAATAAAAATTAAAAATTAAAATGAACCCTTGTCAATTACAAATAGTTGGGTCTTATTTGTTGTTAATCCAGTCCTAAAATCTCTGCCATTTAACTGTGTTTTCCCCATTTACATTTAATGTAGTTATTGAGAAGGTTGTTGTCAGGTATCTCATTTTATTGTTTGTTTCTGGCTGTTACCTATATTATTTGCTCTTCAGTTTTCTCTTTTCTGCTGATTTATTTTGTTTGTTTTTTGGATGATTTTGTAGTGTTCCATTTTAATTTATCTACTGCTATTTTTGTTTGTATGTTGTTTCTGAATCGGCTGTTGTAGGTATTATAATATACACAGCTAGTTCCACAAACTCTACTTAGAGGTAGTATTTTACCTCTTCAAGGAAAATGCAGAAGGCTTACAACTGTGTAGATCCTTTTACCACCACTGTATGCTGTAGTTGTCATATGTATTATATCCACAAACATTAAACCCCAGCAGACAATGTTATTATTTTTGCTTTCAACAGCCATACATATTTTTTAAACTCAAGAAGAGAAAAATATGCTATTATATTAACTCACATATTTAAATATTTTTGTTCTTCTTTTATTCTTGAATTTCCAAGTGTCCCTCTAGAATTATTTCCTTTCTGCCTGAATAACTTATTATCTCTTCTCAGCAGGGCTGCTGGCAACAAATTTGCTCAGTGTTCCTTCCTCTAAGAATGACTTTATTTTGCTTCCATCCCAGAAGAATAGATCCAGAGAAATTCCAGCTTGATGTTTCTTGTCTCTTAGAACTTTACAACTTTGGACCCTGTGGTTTCTGATAGGAGATCTGTAATCATTCCAATTATGTTTTCTCTGTATGTAATGTGCCTATTTTTTTTCTCGGTGTTCTCAATTTTTTTCACTAGGTTGATGATGATCAGGATGTGTGTGGGCTTGGTTTTCAAAGACTGATAGCTGAGTTTTTTTGGACATGTAAATGTCTGACTTTCTACAAATTTGTGAAATGGTCAGCTATCTTTTTCTTCAAGTATGTTGTTCTCCGTTGATATTATTCTCCTTTGCTGGGAGATCAGTAACATACATTTTCTCACAGATCGCTGGGTCTGCCTGTGTTCATTTTAAAATCTGGGTTGCCTCACGGTGTGAGGAGGAGGCAGGGCACCGAAGGGGTAGCAATGACCCAGAGCATTGGATGAAGGAAGATGAAGAAAAAGATGGTTCTGACTTACAGAACAGGAAGTCAGGGAAGGGAAGTGTGTGGGGAGAGAAAATGCACAGCCCCAGTAGAGCCATGCTTTCTTCTGAGCAATGATGATCTTCTCAGCACCTCCCCAAGCTCCCCCTGCCCTGGGGTAGTCCTTCCGGTGACCACCTCACTGGCTCCTCCAGCACCAAGGAGAGAGGGAATAGACTCCATTTCTTTACTCCTGCACTTGACATCTGATCAGCGCCACTCCACTCCCCCCGACTGACAACTTCTGAACAGCAATCTCGACCCATCACAACACTCACGATGTCTTATCTGTATCAGCTCATCAGCCACTTTCTGGGTCCCCCAATGCAGACCCCACTTCTTTCCCTTCCGATATTCAAGTCTGTGAAGGATCAGGCTTGAGCGGAACTCACCAGCCCCAGCAAACAGGATTCTCCCTCCACAACCAAACTCACCAGGTAACCACAAACCTCCACCCCAAACCGAGCAATTTAAAAATTCTCTGCCTTCCCAGCTGCTCCCTCTCCCCATCCGAATGAACCTAGCCACCTCCTTTCCAACCTGCTGGTCCAAGACCCGACGTGTGTCATCCCACCCAGCAGAAAATGAGTTTGTGTTACAGGTTTGTGTAAGAGTTACCCGAGAAAACCACATAAATGATTTAAAATAGCCATCCAGGGGCCAGGCGAATGTTGGAGTTCTGTTATTGATCGAGCTAATTATTAATAGAGGCTGCCTGCAGGACATTTTCACATAGTGCTCGCCTTTTTAAAACAGAAATTTCTTCGTACTCTCTGTTGCTTAAAACTTTTCCCATTGGCTTCAAGATAAAATCCAAAATATGTGCACGGTGCTCCAGACCCTGTGTGAGCAGGCTGAGCCTTCACCTGACTGCTCTCACGTCTGAAACAGGTCGAGATCTTTCTGGTCAATGATGCCCCCAGCCCACCACCTCTGGGCTGGTCCCTGCTCATGCCTTGGGCCAGTTCACCCTCAAGAAGGAACCTCTCAGCCAGGACCCAGGTTGCATGATGTCTTCCTGTTATTGAACCTCATTGTGTCATTACTTTTTTCTTCCAATATGTACAATCTCACAAGGCTAACTAGCCATCAGCGGTCTACATATCTGTAATGTCTGTGTTCAATAATCTGAGCACCATGAGTCCAGGGAAAGAATCATCTGTCAGCTTCAGCCATGACTCCCCAGAGCCTGGCCAATGACTGGACAGGGTAACTGCTCAGTAGATATTGCCTGACGGATTGCCCAATGAGAGAAGGGAAGAAATTCTCATTTACGTAGGCTCAGGAAAGGGAAGTGTCTTACCCAAGGTCACGGACATTTTAGAAAAGGCAGAGTCAGAATTGTAGCAGAAAAGGGGGGGGGCTCCTCTCCTGCCTGTTTCTCTACCCTCATGCTCTGGGTCAGGTGTCACTCTCTGGATTTGGGTTTGGTGTGAGGTGGAGGCAGACATTGGGGGTCCGCTGAGACTCAGGTCAGTCTGAAAGGTCTCAGAACCAGCTGTGTCCTCTGTCACATCCTTCAGGGAGGGGCTACTTCCCTTCCTGTGAGGCCACTGATGAGGAACCCACGACATGTCACACAAAGCCTGGACCCATGTCACATCCCATGCGTCCGTCTGTCTCCCAGGCTCTGTGAATTTTACTCGTCATCTGCACACTGAGGACCATGGAAGGAAGCACCATGACCGCGACCCTCACTGCCCTTCTCTGCCTCTGTGAGATCTGGGGAAATGCAGAGTGATGGGGCCCCCTGACTTCACAGATTCTGCTGTAGAGAAACCCCAGGACTCAGGACACTCCCTGGGGGCAGGACCTTGGGGGAGGAGAGGTGTGCTCAGCCCCAGGTCTGCCCCCAGTGTTGAGGGGCCCAGACCAGGCCTGGAGCTTCTACGTGTGGTTGGGGATGGTTCTCACAGGAACTCTCTTCCAGGGCTGTGTCGGGGTCCATGGGACCATTTACAGGCAGGTGAGTGCTCCCCAAGACCTCCTGCTTCAGCACAGTAACCACCCCGTCTTCCCAGGGCAGCGGGGGAGACACAGGGTTTGGAATCATGGTGACCCACCTGGGAGGGACCTTGGAGTGACAGCTGGGGAAACACAGAGGGAGAAGGGCTCCCCTGACATTTTGTGTCTGATTCCTTTCCAGAAGTTGTCCCCAAACCCTCCATCTGGGCTAAGCCAGGCCCCATGATCACCAGAGGAAGTCCTGTGACCCTCTGGTGTCAGGGGTCTCTGCAGGCTACTGCCTATACTCTGTATAGAGAGAGGGCTCCTGAGCCCTGGGTTACAAGGATCACACCCAATTTCAGCAGCAAGACCAGTTTCCACATTGAATCCTCCAGCTCACAGCATGCAGGGCTCTATGAGTGTGCGTATTACACCACTGAGCACAAACTCTCAGAGCGCAGTGACCCCCTGCTCCTGGTGGTGACAGGTAAGGGGAACTTGGGTGCCCTCCCCACTGTGGCTCCCCTCACACTCAGGGAATGGAGGGTGGGCTCAGGGGGACCTCACCCCACAGTCCACACTGGGAACATGTGGGTAATGGTCCCTGTAACACGGATCCCCCTTCTCCCTTAGGAGTGGACAGAGCACCCTCCCTCTCAGCCCAGCCAAGCCCTGTGGTGGCCTCAGGAGGGAGCATGTCCCTCGTGTGTCGCTCACAGGACACATCGGGCACTTTCCATCTGCTGAAGGAGGGAGGAGCTGACCCGCCCCGACACATGGAACCGCAATCAAGGTCCAATGCTGAGAGCACCTATGCCCAGGCCACCTTCCCTGTGGGCCCCGTGAACTCCTCCCACGGGGGGACCTACAGATGCTATGGTTCATCCAGATCCCACCCCAATCAGTGGTCACACCCCAGTGATCCTCTGCATCTCGCGTTCACAGGTGAGGGGACAGACCCCTGTGCAAATCCATCTGTTCCCTGGGCCCAAAATGACTGACCTAGGCTTGTGTCGAGTGGAGTCCTGGGGTCAGGGGGTCAGTGACACTGGCCTCTGGGGGACAGAACCTCAGGTGTAAGGTTAGGGAGGGACAGGAGAGGACTCTCCCTGCACCCCAGTGGGCAATGGGGTGTGTGCCCCCTGATGCCACATCCCCTTCTCCCAGGTGTGCACAGGGGGCCCTCCCTCTCGGCCCAGCCGGGCTCCCTGGTGCTGCCTGGAGACAGCCTGACCCTGCAGTGTGGCTCGGAGGCTGGCTTTGACAGATTCGCTCTGACCAAGGACCAGGGGCTCACACTAATCTTTGTAATTGGGATAGGTCAATAACTTTTTTTTTTTTTACATCCTGGTTTTTCTAGCAAAATGGGGTAACAGACTGATGTAATTTTATACTTTTTTGGTTTATTATATAATATAATTTGGGGGATTTTCTGTTACTTCACGTTTTCAAGTGACCTTTGTTGTCTTTTGAGAGAAAAACCACGGGACTGGCATCCAAATACCCATATTTTGTATCTGGTAAATGTATCGACCATTGTAGGTATTCATTATTATATAAAAGGTGAGTTAATAACATAATGATGTCATGAAAATTTCCAGGTGATGATTAAAATGCAGACTCTCTAAAAGGAGGGACCTGGGTGGGTGGGGTGAAGACACCCAGCCGCAGACTTTCACCCCTTGTGCTCCTGACATGCAGGAGCCCCTGACTCAAACCCCTCCCCCTTTGCAGTTGCTGAACACTTGAGATCTCTCAGCTGTAGGGCAATAGCTTTATGGGGTCTCGACTCTCAAACTGAACACAGAACACACAGCTCTTAACTATTTCTGAATTGAGATCATTTTTTCACTCTTTCTGTGCTCTTGGGCACAGTTAACTCTTATCGAGGTGACTCAGATCAGCTTGTAAATTTGGACATGACAGGGTCGCTGACGTAAAAGGGGTGCTGGGAGCCCGGGGTTGACTTCAGAATCCTGGAGATTTGGGTCTGCCTTGACCTCTGTGATCTCTTACCCCCAATTCTTATCTTTCCATCCCCAAGACTACACATTGGAGAATCTCATCCGGATGGGCATGGCTGGATTGGTCCTGGTGGTCCTGGGGGTGCTGCTATTTCAGGCTCGGAACAGCCCAGGAAGGATCCACGATGCAGCCAGGACTTAAAATAAGGGAGAACAATGCACTGTTCAGAGTGGGGTGCCGTGGAGCACATCTGATGTCCCAGGACGTGATGAATGAGCATCTGGACCCCAGTTGGGAAACTCTCTGCTGGGAATGTCCAGGGGAGGAGAGGTGCAGAGGAGGTTTGGGTGCACGGGGGCAGGTGCCCTGTTCCTGTGGAGGACGCCTCCCCCATCAGACTGTGGTGCTCCCCCTCCCTGTCATCCCTGACTCTCCTCCACTGCCCTCTGTTCTCCCCTGTGACGTGAGGGTCCGTCCCACACGGCTGGTTTGGATTCACATCTATGCACCCTTCATGCTGGATCACAGTCATACACACACAGTGTGGTGTCATCATAACACTGGGAATGTTATGACCCATGAAGAACAGAGTACCGGTCCGTGCGACATTGTGGGTGAACGTCACAACTATACAGCTCAGTGACAGAAGCAGGACACAGAAGATCACGTTGTGGGTGATTCCATGGACATTGTATACAATGTCCAGCAGCAGGAAACTCGAGAAAACAGAAACCAGCCCTGGCCTGTTTGGTTCAGCGGTTAGAGCGTCGGCCTGCGGTCCTGAGGGACCCAGGTTCGGTTCCCGCTAAGGGCATGTACCTCGGTTGCAGTTCGTCCCCGGCCCTGGTCGGTTGTGCGGGTGGCAGCCACTCGTTGTGTTCCTTTCACGTCGATGTTTCTCTCTTTCTCTCTGTTCCTCTCTCTCCCTCCCACTCTACCTGAACAAAAAATGGAAAAGTGTCCTCGGGTGAGGATAAAAAACAAAACAAAACAGGAACCAGATTGCTTTGTGTGCAGTGAGCTACAAGAGAGACTGGAGATTGACTGCTTTGTGCTTTTTAAAATATTTTTGAGGAGGTTTATTAAAACTTCTTGAACCTAGATAAATGTTGTGATTGAGACAGTGTGTCTTTACTACATTCCAGGGAGTTTTATTCTTTAAAAGGGTCAGTTTTGTGTTATGTGGATTTTGCATCAATAAACTGAAATGCTGGCAAAACAGACATGGTTTCCCATAGATCCCTGTACCTTAGAGGTTGCACCACGTCCGCGTGGAGTTTTATGGGAGGCAGGACTCCCAGTAGGTCAGAGATGCGCTAAGTGCCTTAGTGCTTAGGGACCAACCCACTGATGGAATCTCCACCTTCACCCTTGACTTTGGCTGAGCATAGGATCCAGGATGAGCACCCTCATTCCTGCATCCTTTAGTCTGAGCTCAGCTGCCGTTCCACCAAGGATGCGCCATCGCTTCTGTCTTACCTTGTAGGCTGGGGAGGTATGTGTGAGGCTTCCAAGTAGCCCTTCCTACCATAACCTCTTATCCCCATGTCTTCACCGGGTCAGAGCAGTGGCATCAGAGTGAGACTCTTTGTGTCTCATATCAACCCTCCGAGGCCAGGTTTCTCAATTTCCTACAATGATGAAAGAGAGAGAAAGACGTTATGGGCTCAAAATAGATGGCTAAAAAACGAGTCCCCGGGTCTTACATGAACACCTGTACATTGTCTCCAACTCATTCTCGCACCCAAAGCAAGGAGACGGACTAAGCAGTGTCAGAGAGTTATAGTCTGGGGTCCAAGAGGCAGTGAGGGGCTGAAAGGACTCAGAAGTGTTGATGGACAATGATGGACAGAAGCTGCTGTAGCTCACAGAAACAAGGAAGTAGGAGAGAGGAAGTGTGATGAGAAATAAACCGCAATCCCAGGCCAGGAGGTTGCTGGTGGTTCCATCTGTGAGGCAGTTGACAGTGTTGTAAACATGTCCCCGAGCCTCCTGCATCTCTTGGGCGCATCAGCCTCATGATGGCCCCGTTGCCTTCTCCAGGCAACCAAGCAGAGAGGGGAAGGGGCCTCAACTCTTCGCTCTCTTCCCACACACGCACGGCAAACACATCTCACAGTTTGGTTTCTCGGTTCTTCCTGTGACCCAGTTCATCTCCACAGTCATGAGTCTTTTCTTAAATTAAAGCTCATGGATTGTCTCCAACTAGTTTTTTCTTTTACCAAATGATGGAGATGGATAAACAGCATTAGACACAGGGTTATACCCTGGGGGACACGAGGCAGTGAGGAAGCAGAAATGACTCAGAGGTTTGGAGGCAACGTGATAGAAGCTGCTTCTGGTGCGGCTCCAGCAGCCTCCTGTCTGGCCTCCTGCAGACCCTCACACCCAGCTGAGGTGTTTTATTCTCATGGCTCCAAACTAACCCGTCACTGACCATCGCCTACAAAAGCTTTCCACGGGTCTCCCCCTTCCTCCAGCAACACCCAAGTTTCTCCACCTGACGTTCCATGTTGCTGAAGATCAGGCTGAGCTAAACTCCCCGGTCCCATTGGAGCCAACTCTTCCTGCAAACCACACTCACCCCCGTGAAACTCTCCCTCCCCAGACACACACCACCTGAGTTAGGACCACATTGTGCCTTGTCAGGGGCACCTCCCTGAGCCAATCTGAACAGAGCAGACTCCTTCCAAACCTCCTAGACCAGGAGCGGGGAACCTTGGTTCGACCAAGAGCCATTCGGAAATTTACAACATCCTTCTTGGGCCACACAAAATGATCAACTTAAGAATTAGCCTGCTATGTTTGGTCGAACATTGAATTAACTCACCCCTCCTGTGATGGCTGGAACTGTGCCTCTTTGGTGACGCTGGTGTTGACGATGTTGCTACTGCAACTGCTTTTCCAGGTTTGCGTCCGTCCGTCTGCAGCCCAGCGGACTCTCTGCAACGGTCAGTTTTGAAAAGAACGGCTCAGAGCAGTAAGTTGTTCTGAACACAGATGCACATTTCAGTGCGTGTCCCCTCCCTGTGGGAAGTTCATCGCTGCTTATGCACCATTTACAGAACTCGAGCAGCGGGAGGAGTTTGGACCAGCTTGCAGCTCATGGTCGTTTTGCAGCTGAATGATTTCCTGTTGTTGGTCATCGGGCACGTCAGCTGGTTCCACACTGAACGGTGTAGCCAAGCTGCTCAGTTCCACTGTTTACTTTCACATCCTTGAATCTTTCATGAAATGCCTCCATTCGTTTTGCACGTTCACTGTCATATCCAAGTGTTGTAGGAGGCTTTCGTCCTTCCAGAGTGAGAAATGCTCCATGTTACTCCTTCCGAGTGGCACTTTCCACAACTTTAATTTAGCTTCAGATGATTTCACGTTTGAAATTGGGAGCGGAGTAGCTGGCTGGGGCCCCGCAGCCTGACGTTCAGCTCTGAGAGGGACTTGGTGATGTCCACCATGAACGTAAATCACACAGCCACTTGCTGTCATTGAGTTCCCTGACAGGATTTCCCTTCATCTCCACGAACCGCTTGACTTCATCCCGCAGTTCATAAAACTTCATGAGCATGTTTCCGGGATTCGGCCACCACACTTCACAGGGATAAACAAGTCCCTGTACTGAGTCAAGATCAAACAGTAACTCCTTTTATTGGTGGCTTTTAAAAGGCCTGCTTTTGACAAAATGTATGCAGGACACTACTGTTGACATCACATTGTTGAGCCGCAATGACGGTGCACAGAGACTTTCTAGGTGTGTGATGCAGTGGCATCTAATCAAATCACTTGGATTATGACTGAGATGATTCAGTTCTTTCTTGACAAATGCAATTAACCCTTTCTGTCAGCCAGCCAGGGCTGGAGCTCCGCCTGTATAAAGGCCGCTGCTTAACTTTTCAAATGTTAGCTCAAGGTTTTTCATTGATAAAATAAATCTCCCAACAAGTCCTCACCTCTTACAATGCCAGACATGGTCCCAGGGACAGCAGTTCCTCTCGTGTGTCAAACTCTGCAGTTATCCCACGAACAAAAATGGCCAGTTGGGCAGTATTTGTTATGTCATTGTCTCATCACCAGCCAGAGAGAACAATTGGAAATCTCCTGCAGAGTTCTTCAGTGCTTTTTCAATATCTTCTGCTATGTCAGGAATCCCATCTGAGATAAGTTCTTCGAGACAAACCAACAGTCTGAGACAATTTTGCTTTGTCTGGTGCTAACAACTCGGCAGCAGCCACCAAGCACTCTCTCACAAACTCCCTCTGCAGGGGACTTCCGCTTCTTTGCAATCAGCTCGCTCACTACATAACTGGTCTGAGTAACGTTGTCTCTGTCACAATGAGGCCCAGTGAAAGTGGCTGGTTGTGATTGCAAACCCCACTGAGGACCATCGATTTTATCCAGATGCAGTTGGCCTCCCCATTCATTGAGTTTAGCATGTCTTGAGCTGTCATGATGCTTTAGGTTGACTTTTTTATTACTGCTAACTCGTCATCACAAACTAGGCACCCAGGCTTGTCTTTGAGATCCACAACAAACAATCACTTTTCCATTTCTCTTGGAAAGATTGACACTCTACGTTAACTTTCCTTTTCTTTGTCGTCGCTGTGTGTAGGATGTCACACCCCTGAAGAGTTAATAACTACCCAGTGTGTGTGTCAGCTGTGACATGATCATTTTGCTTTGATCGCTGTTCTGATCCTGCATCTTGGATTTGGAACACATCCAACGTTTGTATCACGGACTCTTGAGGGCTCTATGTGTACTGTGATTTCCTTCATCTTCATCTGAGAATCAGTTTTTGCTGGGATTGTTGATGGTGGACGTGTGAATATACGTTGGATTGGAGTAATTTTCCGTGTCAACAAAGAAGTCGACAACATCGTTGTCCATCATCGGAGGCGAGGTCATCCAGGTCGTGAGGAATCATCTCCTGGCGTCTGGTCTCATCAACACCGCATCGCCGTGGTTTTGCCACAGCGTGTTGACACTTTCACAGCGTGGACACTCCCAGTCCGCCTGGTGCTGGTGGTCCTCTGAGCCACTGCAGTGCAGACAGACGGGCCGTGGGCAGCCAATGAGAAGCATCGTGTCTGTCCCATCATGTACTCGGACGTGTCCTGTCTATCCCAAAATGGATGTTCCTGGCTTGTCCTGAAAAATTTATATTGTGATTCACTTAACATAAATGTATGTTGCTATGGAAAAAGCTCCTAGATTTATTGACTTTGAGTCCCTGGTGCCCTTGGCAGGGCCAGACCAAATGGTTTCATGGGATCTATGCGGCCTCAGGCCGGACGTTCCCCAGCCCTGTCCTAGACCATGACAATGACCAAGAAGTCTTTCCACGTCACCTCACTCAATTGTACCCGTGTTCACTTCATAGGTTTTGTGTAAGGGTTGCACCAGAAGTCCACCTGCCCACCTAGAATACGATCACCTCATCACCTGGTGGCCGGTGATGTTGGAGATTCATCACTGATTGTTATCCACAAAGTCCTCCTACGGTCTATTCCCGACGGAGTGGTGTCTTCTCCAACCAGCATCCTGTTCGCATGTTCTTTCAGCGAAAAGTCTTCCATGACCTGAAAGATGAAACCCAAGAGTGTCTGCCGGGGACAAAGTTCCTGTGTGACCAGGGCACAGAGCACCCCAATGACTCACAGTTTTTAGACGTCATGCTGTTTTTGGTCCATGGTGCCCTCACCACCCTTGTGCTGACCCCTGTCATGTCCTGGTCTCTCCTGCACCAGCAGGTCCCCACACTCCATGGTTGCCGGACGTCCACCCATGATTGCTTCTCTCTGTGCTCAGTTTTTCTCCTTCTCTACAACTTACCAGAACTGCAGCCACATTACTCATTGTGAAACATTTGCATTGTCTGATGTCACTAATCTGAGCTCCACGTGTCCAGGAGAGGAATCAGTCATCTTTACCCCAATGAATCTCGTGACTAGACAGGGAAACTTCTCAGTAAACATCAGCTGGTTGTCGGGATGGCGAAAGCAAGGAAGAAATTTGCATTTATGGAGTCTCAGGAAAGAGAAGTGTTTGCCCAAGGGGATGTGGACTGTATAAGAGGCTGAAGCAAAATAAGAGCCAAATGGTTTGGGAGCAGAAGAGTCTAAGTGTTCCCTGTACTGGACTGTTCCTCCAATAAATGTGTATTTTCTCTTCCTATCTTGGTTGACCTTCTGTGACGACCTTCATTTTTTTCTGACCCCTGTGACATGAGAGCTGATGCTCTACCGGTGAGCCAAACCTGACACGGAAAATTTTTTAAAATGGCATTGGATGAAGACAGAAGGATTGTGAGGTTCAGAGAAGGTGGTAGGCACAGTTTTGGATTCATCTTTTCTAGGCTCACATCTAATTTTTTCCATTTATTTACTTTTGGAATCCAGGCGAACTCCTGTGAACTGAAGAGATGAAAACTCAATAATGTCCATCTAGTAATGAAGTGATTAGAAATAAAGAACATTGAGTTACATGAAAGTGGAGGGGACAATGGCATTCTAGATGTGTGGACCCAAACCAGCCACATGAAATGGTCCCTCATGTCACAGGGATCAGAAAAGAATGGGAGTCGTCACTGAAGGTCAACCAAGATAGGGATGTTTCTATCTCTTTCTTTCTCTAAAAAATCAATAAAAACATATTTAAATGAAAGAGAACCAGAGGCGTGGATACACAGAACAGAATGGTGAATCTTAGAGGGATGGCGGGGGTGGGGAGAGATTAAGCCAAGAACATATATGCATATATACATCGTTCATGGACACAGACAATAGGGTGGTGATGGTCCGGGCCAAGGCAGAAATATGACGAAGGGGGGCAATAAGGACATCTATAATACTCTAAACATTCAAGATTTAAAATATCATGAATGAACATATTGGAAAAGAAAAACTAACAAAATCAATGGCCTGAGCTACTCTGTCAAGATTTTACAAAAAAAAAAAAAAATTGCTTTGAATCCTCGACATCCATAGATAACTGGATAAGAAAGTGTGACGTGCGTGCACAACACAATAGTAATCAGCTGTAAAACATAATGAAGTTGTGCCTCTTGCAACAACATGGATGAACCTGGAGGGTATTATCCTGAGTGTAATAATTCAGACAGAGAAAGATTTTCACTTATATGTGGGACTTTCAACATAATAGAAACAAACAAAACAAAAATTTACAGAAATAAAGAACAAATTGATGGATGTCAGAGGGGAGGGACTGGAGGGGTGGGTGTAAAGAGGGAGAAAGTCAATAACATATGATTTCTTTGCAGGGAGACAGATGGTTCCTTGACTCTGTGTGGGGATATAAAAGGGTGTGGCTCAAATCAGACCCTCAGCACCTGCTATTTCTAGGGTGACAAGAGCTGATCCTCTTCCTGGGTGACAAGCACCTTTTTTTCTGATGTATGAGCAACACCATCCTGATAGTGCAAAGAATATTCAGAGTTGTCATCCCGGAATCCACCAGTCAGTACAGCTCGCTGACGTTCAAGAGGTCGTGAGGACCAAACCAGGTCCAGCTTTAACTAAGAATGTGCATGCGTATCAAGGAGGTTTTTCTAAAGACCATGGGCCACCACCATCTCCCCTAATTCTCTACTATTTTATGTGTTAATCCTGAGAGGTGGTAGTTATTTCAGCACTGGGGTCTGGACAGCTCCATTCATTTAGCGGGCCCATAAATATGAGTATATGGCTTACAGGTGTTTTGTGTAGCCTATTTTCATAGATTTTTTAAAAAAATTGTATACCTTCATGACAAGTACTGTTTAATTTTATATAGACATTTTATTTTCTTGGTGTTTGAGCATCAAGAATATGTTCAACAGAATAAACATGAGCTATTTAAAATGAAATGAAGTGGCCCGGCCAGTGTGTCTCAGTGGTTGAGCATCGACCCATGCACCAAGAGATTGCCAATTTGATTCCTGGTCAGGGTACATGCCCAGTTTGTGGGCCTAATCCCCAGTGGGGGGCATACAGGAGGCGGCCAGTCTATGTTCTCTCTCACTGATGTTTTTATTCCTCTCTCCCTCTCCCTTTCTTTCTCTCTACAATCAATAAAAAAATGTTTTAAAAGGAATAAAGTGACCCTACCATTCATATTAAGTTCAAAGACAGAGACTCTTGCAAGCAGGATAGTAATTGAGCTGAAGACAATAGAAGATACATCCACTTTGTTGAGGAGTTTGTATTTCTCCCACGAACTTGTTGTTTTAGTCACAGAAAAGCAAGCATGAGTGGCAGGGGATGATTCTCTGCACAATTCTGCCTAAACCCATAAAGAAGATTGGATGTCAATGTTTGCAAGTGGCATGTTAAAGTATTTGCTTACTTTCCTAACGTTGCTACTGTCATCTCACAGATTTGCAGCTATTTCTTCAGGTTGTCAGTCCCAGTCCCTTGGGTCATTCTGGCTTCACAAACACCTTCTCACACTCTGACCTCTTGTGTGGTTTTCTATTCACTCACTTCTGGGTGTCTATGAGAAACAGTTCTTCTATTTCCTGGTTTGAAATTTACCAAATTCCCCACTACATTCATGCTGTGGTCTCCATTAACAGAAAAAGTTGCTTTCACAAGGCTAGAAAAATACTTCTTTATGTATTTTGCTAAGGAAAAATGGATTTTCTCTTCATTTTTTCACTTGTAGCCCATCTGACTCTAATATTATGTATGAGATGGGGCAAACTTGAAAGTTGACCTTGTTCCATAGGCTCACCAAATGGCAGAGCATCATTACAGGGAGAGACCAGGATCTGCCCCCTGCACTGCAGGGATCTGTCGTGGTTAGGTGAGTCCACACGAGTGGTCAGATCTGGATTCTTCCTTCTGCTCCCTTGGATGAGGTATCTCTACTTTTCAATTTCCAGAGCTCTAACATCTCCATGTAAATTCGAATGGCTTGTTTCCTTCCCCCTTGTCTCAGGGATGGTGATTTCTCACCACATTTGCATGGGTGGAGTTGGTATCACTGAGCTACAATTGAGGGAAGTCAGCCCAAGAGAGGAACTGAGCAGCTCAAGGGTCCCTCAGACATTCGAGATGTAGTAGTGCCACTGCTGACATTAAAGGCGTGTCTGTAAACATGATAAACTTTAACTACGCGATCATCCATTACTTTTATACTAAGGCGTGTATCTTCAAAAATGCACCATAAAAATAAAGATATATAGACGATCTAAAAATAAGTGTGTCTCTCTGTGTGTGTTTAATGTCTTCAAACAGGATCTCATGAATATCAATTTTGTGTGAATCCTGAAAGGTCTTCATGGTTTAAAGAGGAGAGTGACACCCAGCTTCAAAGGGGCTCTGAGACATGACTCAAATGATTTGCCCCAAGGAGAGAGAGGTCCACTGCTCAGAAACAGAAAGTCAGGTGGAGACAGTGTGAGGACAACCTGGGATCCTGGGCCAGAGGAAGGGCCAAGCTGCCCTGTGGGAGCAGAAGCACATTGCACAGCCCCAGGCTCGTCCCTCCCCCACCCCTTGGCTCCCTGTCTCTGAGGCAACCTTGCTGTCCCCATCAGCAAGGCAGGAAGGGAAGGTCACCTTCCCACCCACCAAGGCAGCTGTCACATTTCCAACCTTCCTGGGATCTGAGCTCCACCCCCCTCCCTTCCCCAGGTCACCACCACATTGTTCTTTCCAACTTACATGAAGACAGGATGGGGAGGGAGAGGGAGGTGGTTATTAATGGGGGGGAGGAAAAACATCTATAACAAAAATAAATAAAGTAATTAATTTTTAAAAAACACCTTTGTTTTCTGCTAAAAATATTTTCATGTTTCTCACAGTTTTTGGTAAATACAGATTCTTCTGTCTGAACTGAAGACTGCTCATGGTCGTCCAGATGTGACTCTCCTACCTCAGCTCTCAATTCTCATTTTCTCATCCAGACTAGTGCAGTTACCCCATGAACACACATGCACACACACACACACACAGACCCACTAACACATACTCACACACTCACACACACACACTCAGTCACAGTTAAACACACTCACACGACCTGCTACGGACCATGTCTGGGCTCTCCTAGATTTCTATACAACTAGCAAATTTCTTCCCCATCCCAGAGCTAAAGCACAAACTAGGAACAACACTGAGATTCCTTCCTCTTGTTTTTCTTTTTTGCTTGTGATTCTGACTGTTAAGGGCTAATTGAGGATCTTGAGGTATATCCTCATGCTGATCCTGAAACATGGTGGCAAACACGAGAACTGGAGTTCAACCACTGTTGACATTATATGTTATTTCCATATATTGAATTTCTCGAGCTCATATGATCTTGATAACTCAGTCTGACCATCACAGTTTATTTCTATGTATTCCTTTTGCCTTATGGACATAATCCCACCTCCTTGCATGGGGGGAGCACCCCCACAATGAACCACCACCTCACCCTCTCTTACTGTTGTTCAGAGGGTCCTCTCTGTCTCTAGAGTTCTCTAGCATGTCTTTCCTCTCAAGAATTACACGTCTTCAAACAGCCATTACTCAACCACAGTCTAGTCACGGTCCCTGGTTCTCATATTTTCTCTCATTTCTCATTTTCATGTACCATAACTGCAACCTCAGCCTTAGAATACCCACACTGTGCTGAGAAGAGTTCTCAAAAGACAGCATATGGGTCTCCTGGATCAAAGATACATTTCTGTTTGTGGCCCAAATCCTCAGCAGGTACTAGGTAAGGAGTCAATATTTGTGGATGGGCCATTCAGAGATGAAAGGTAAATTCCATCTGAGAGATGCTGAGACAATTTGTAGTAACTTTTATTTAGTGGTTTGACTCCAGACAGAAACCAGGGTCTTGATTTAGTGGTTTGTCTCTGAGCAAGTTTTCAGACTGATCAGAGTCCTGGGAGTCAGAAGAGCCCCTGTATTTGTGCTGAGTGTCTCCAGAGCTCCTAGACTCCTCCTGCACCCTCATCATGAAAAAAACCCAGATTCAGGGTTAGGGTGGGGCCATCCCCTGGCTGTGGGTCCACAGCTGACGGGACCCAGAAGCGAGGCGGAAGCTCTTGACTCACCACATCCTGTGCGTCTCTGTCCTCAGCCCCAGGGTCCTGTCCATCTGCAGAGCACTCAGAGCAGGTGCCATGACGTCCCTCCTCCCAGCTCTGCTCTGCCTCGGTCAGTTGTGGAGATTGGCAACAGGAGGGAGTGGGAGGCTACCCCCCTCTTCATGGCCACCTCAGAGCTCAGATGACTCTGCTGGCCACTGGGTCCTGGGGAAGAAATTTAGCTCCATGTCCAGGAGCGAATCTCTGACTGGGTCTCTCCTCCAGGGCTGAGTCTGGACCAGAGGATCCACACGCAGGCAGGTGAGTCCTCGTCTGGCTCCATGTCCATCTCTTACTTCTCCCCTGGGGTCAGGACAGAGCACAGAGTCTCTGGGATGAGGTGATAGAATGTGAGGGGCTTTGGCTGAGCTGGGATTGGGTGGGGAAGGTATTTGTGATGCATCCTCTGTTTTTCTTCCAGGGACCCTCCCCAAACCCACCATCTGGGCTGAGCCAGGCTCTGTGGTCCCCTCGGGGAGCTCCGTGACCCTCTGGTGTCGGGGGACCACAAAGGCCCAGGAGTACTGTCTGTATACAGATGACATGCGTACGTGCTTGGACAGACAGACACCGCTGGAGCCTGGGGATAGTGCCAAGTTCTTAAAGAGAAGTTATACAGAGAAATATTCCTGTGCCTACCTCAGCCCCACTGGCTGGTCAGAGCGCAGTGACCCCCTGGAGCTGGTGGTGACAGGTGAGGGGACACTCAGGGGTCCCAGCCTCAGGCTCTGCCCTCAGGAAGGGGCTGCTCTCAGGGCCTCTGCCCTCTCACAGCCCAGCCCTGGGGGACACTAGGGAGGTGTGAGCCCCTTTAACATGCTGTCTCCTTCCCTCCTAGGATCCTACAGCAAACCCAGCCTCTCAGCCCTGCCCAGCCCTGTCCTGACCTCAGGGGGGAACGTGACCCTCCAGTGTGGCTCAGGGCAGGGATTTGACAGGTTCATTCTGACTAAGGAAGGAGAACACAGGCTCTCCTGGTCCCTCAACTCAAAAAAAATCACCAGTGGGAAGTCTCAGGCCCTGTTCGTTCTGGGTCCTTTGACCCTGAACCACAGTGGAACATTCAGATGCTATGGCTATTATAATGGAACCCCCAACGAGTGGTCTGACCCAAGTGACCCCCTGGACCTCCAGTTCTCAGGTGAGGAGCCCCTGACCCCAACTTTTTAAGCACAGTCAGCTGAGGTTCCTGTCCCCAGGAGACATGGGAACTTGAATAAGAGTGAGGGGCTCTGAGGCTGGCAGGTGGCAAGCGGGTGGTCATGGCAGAGGGCGATGCTGGGGCCCACCTGGAGGGAGAGAAACAGGGATCCAGGGATGAGAAGGCAGCCCCCCCACCACTCATACAGATCCCCAAGAGGCTCTGAGGATGGTCCCACCCCAATGAGTCAGGCCCACATTGGTGTAGGTGAGGGTCTCTGTGGGGAGGTGGTGGGTGTTTTCATGGGGACAGGGGCTGAGTCATGAGGAGTTCAGACTCTTCTGGAGACTGTGACTTGGATACACCCTTCCCCTGTCTGAGCCTCAGGGTCCCCAAGTGTAAAAGGAGAGATTCATGGCCCAGAGCTTAGATTTTCTTTCAGTTCTGGTTCTGACCTCCTGGGGGAGGGGGCCTCACAGGGACATGCAGGACGTGTTGTGGGGACTGTCCCCTCTGTGGCAGTGATGGTGACATGCACAGGGAGGGGCAGGCAGGACCAGGGTCTGGGGCATCCAGGTCCTTTCCCTCAGCCGAGGCTCAGCTCAGAGGAGAGAGGGCTGGAGTCAGACCTGGTTCAGTTCCCAGCTCTGCTGCTCCTGTGGGGGTCAGGTGGTCCCTTCTCTTCCCTGAGTGTTGGATCATGTCTGTCCATCCCAGGTCCCCTCCTGCTCACAGGCTGCTGTCAGATCAGGTGACATAAGGGGCCTGACAGAGCTCAGGAAAGCTGAGCCCCAGCCCAGCCAAACATCCTTCTCTCTAGGATGGCTCCTGAGACTCCCTGCCTCTCTGAGAAGCTGTGTACTTTTGTCCTCAGGGGAGAACATGACTCTGCTGTGTCAGTCACAGAACCAGTGGGATACTTTCCTTCTGGTCAAGGGGAGAGCAACCAATCCCCTCCCCCTTCCAAGGCTTAGATTGAAGTACAGAGCCAAGCAGTTCAGGGCAGAGTTCTCCATGAGTCCTGTGACCTCCACCCACAGGGGTACCTACAGGTGCTACAGCTCACTCAGCACCTCCCCCTACCTGCTGTCACAGCCCAGTGAGCCCCTGGGGGCCCCTGACCCTGTTCGTTCAGGATCAGCCAGCCCATGGCCTTGTCTCTTCAGAGTCTGAGACAATAATACATGAGAGGGTCCAGGGGGGCTCCACAAAGGAGGACACTAAGGAGCCCTTGACTCCAACTCCTCTTCCAGGGATCCTGGGTTCTTCGCTGTGGAGTAAGTGGAATCTTCCAGGTTTGGGGGGAAAAGCTTATGGGGTCTGTGCTTCACACCAAACACAGAACACACAGCAGTATTTATTTCTGTTTTGAGACCATTCCTCTCCCATCCTAAACTCTTGGGCACAGTTCCATTCAATCAAAGTGACTCAGAGCTGGTCTGGACTCAGAGATCACAGGAGGTTGAGATCATCCAATGAGGAGACCAGGGACCTGGCAGAGAGCAGACAGGGCTCATTAGGGAACTGTGTGAATGTTGTGATCTGAGAGGCTTGGGCCTCTGAGAGCACGGATTCCAGAAGGAAGGCTCGTGTCTCCCCAAGTCCTCACTCACACCCTCATTCACAATTCTCAGCAGCAGCTGATGCCATCAGACCATCGCAAGACAAGTCAGACCCCAAGAATCCGGAATGGAAGAAATCCAAGTTATGGGGTGAGCTCAGAGGGTGAAGTCTTCCCAGAGACAGATCTGCATTCCCAGGAGCAGTGCACCAGGGTCCCCTTTCTCTGCACCCTCGCCAGCACTTAATTGAGAATTTGTTGATGGTCGTCATTCTGGCAGGTGTGAGGTGATACCTGAAAGACATCTGAATTTCCATTTCTCTGATGATTAGAGATGCTGAATATGTTTTTCTATGTCTCTTGGCCATTTGTATGTCCTCTTTGAAGGGGTGTCTATTAGGTTCTCTTCAGATTTTAATTCGGATTGTTTGTCTTTCTTTGTTGAGCTGTATGAGTACTGTATCTATCTATCTATCTATCTATCTATCTATCTATCTATCTATCTATCATCTATGTGTATCTATCTATCATCTATCTTCTATCTATCATCTATCTATCTATCATCTATCTATCTATCTATCATCTCTATCATCTATCTATCTATCTATCTTGAAAATTAACCCCTTGTCTCGTTTCATTGCAGATATGGTCTCCCAGAGAGTCACTTTTCTGTTCGTTTTGATGCTAATTTTATTTGCTGTGCAGAGGCTTTTTAAGTTGAAGTATATGCATAACAAATAGACACAGACAAAGGCTGGTCTGGGGGTGGGAGTAAGAAGGAGTGTGCCAATGGGGGAAAAAAGAAAGACATCTGTAATACTTTCAACAATAAAAAATAATAAGAAAATGAGAGCGAGAGAGAAAGAGAGAGAGAGAGACAGAGAGAGAGAGAGAGACAGAGACAGAGAGAGAGGTTCTCTGGGGCATAATTCAGGATTCTGGGGTAATCTGGATCTACACTGACCTCTATGATATTTTCACCCACTATTCCTAGTTTTCCATCCCCAAGACTACACAGTGGAGAATCTCGTACGGATGGGCGTGGCTGGATTGGTCCTGGTGGTCCTCGGGGTGCTGCTATTTCAGGCTCAAACCAGCCAGAGTAGGACCCATGATGCAGCCAGGAGGTGAGCACAGCGGGAACAATGGACTGTTCAGAGAGGGGGAGCCTTGGAGCCCATCTGATGATCTCAGGAGCTGGTGAAGAAAACATGGATCATGAAGAATTGGGAACACTGTGTGCTGAGGGAGTTCGGGGGAGTGAACACGGTTTGGGTGCAGGAACTGCCCGAACGCTCCCAGTACAGGACTCTTCCTCCATTAAATGTGTGTTTTCTTTATTTACTGAGGTGGCCTTTCTGAAACAACAGCCCTTCTTTCTCCACTCTCTGGCTTGAGGGACCACCCCACATCGTTTGTTAGTGTCCACATATCTAGGACCCCTTGTTCTCCTTCACTGTTATTTAATACAATTTTTAAATTTCTAATCACCGAATCATCAGAGGGACAACACTGAAATTTCATCAGTCCAGTCACAGGATGTTACTTTGATGCAATTACTGAGTAAAAGGGCAAAATGAGGCACAAACTTGGAATGATGACACCAAAGTAACGCCTACCACGAACCCCAGCCCTGAGCTCCGTCATCTGCAGCCCAATACCACCGATCTCATTTTCCTGACATGTCATTCCTGGGAATGAACACATTTGTGTTTCAAGGAACAGTCTGCAAGAGTGTTGCCTGTGAACAAGCATTTCTAGAAGGCTCTGATTGGTGGGATTTACCAATTTCTCTATAAATCTATATCTAGATATCATTCTACATTCATGTAGTGAGCTATTCAGCCACAAGAGAGAAAGAAATTCTGCCATTTGTGATAATGCTGAGGGACATTGAGGGCATTGTGCCACGTGAGATAAATCTGGCAGATAAACACAAAAACTTAATAATCTCTCACTTATGTGACAGTTTGATGAAACTGATAGATAATGCTAAGGTGGTATCTTATTGCAATATTTAAGTATCAAATCAACACATTGTCACCTAACACTACCATAATGTTATAAGTCAGTTACATTCCATTAAAGCCAAAAAAAATAATCTCCAGTCTTGATGTAAGAGAAACTTACCTAGAGAGCAGGACAAGTAACAGAGTCTGATGACAGCAATGTTGCTACCAATGTATCCATTTATCTACTATCTGTGTACATGGATCTGTGTGTCAGTCAGTCTGGCTATCTGTCTATTTGTTTGTCTTATCTATCTATCATGTATGTATGTATGTGTGTATGTATGCATGTATCATCTATGTATCTGCCCACCCATTTATCTATTTATTCATCTATCTATCTATCATCTATCTATCTATCTATCTATCTATCTATCTATCTATCTATCTATCATCTATCTATCTATCTCCATGTGTCCATCAATCTCTCTGGTCTTCAGACTCTCATAAAATTAATTGCTTCTCTCTTAAGCAACCCAGGTAGGTGTATTGTGTTGCAGCCAACTTACCAAATTAATAAATCTCTCTCTCTCTCTCTCTTTCACCAGTTTTGACTGATACAGAAGAAATGTCAATAAAACAACACAAAGCAGATTCTGTAGGTTTTGTTCTCTGCTGCAGGGTAGGAATAGAAGTGTCCACTTTGACCTTGCTTTTTGTTTGTCATCGAGTAACAAATATGCGACTGGTACAAGGCCTAATAGATATTAGGTGTGAGAGAGATTTCATATTCTTTCTAAAAATTGTTTTACATCATGAACAATTATTTATTTATTTTAATTAATTTTTTTATTAATTAATTTTTGTTACAGATGTTTCTCCTTTTTCCCCCACTGATTCCTCCCTCCCCCTCTCTCTCTGCCCTTTCCCCAGTTTGTCGTCCATGTCCACTGTTCATTCATACATACATATAAGTTCTGTGGCTTATCTCTTCCCCACCATCCCCCTATTTAGGGGATTGTCAGTATGTATCCCACTTCCGCGTCTCTGGGACTACCCCCTTCCTCAGACTGTTATGTTCATTATATTCCACAAATAAGTGAGAGTATATGATACTTGTCTTTCTCTGTTTGGCTTGTTTTGCTTAGAATAATACTTTCCAGGTCCCTCCATGTCGTCTCAAAGGATAAGAGATCTTTCTTTCTTACAGCTGCATAATACTCCATTGTGTATATGTTCCACAGCTTTTTTATCCATTCATCTACTGATGGACACTTGGGCTGTTTCCAGATCTTAGCTATTGTAAATAGTGCTGCTACAAACATGGGGGTACATATATTCTTCCTGATTGGTGTTTCAGGCTTCTTAGGATATTCCTAGAAGTGGGATCGCTGGGTCAAATGGAAGTTCAATTTTTAATTTTTTGAGGTAACACCATATTGTTTTCCATAGTGGCCACACCAGTCTGCATTCCCACCAGCAGTGCACTAGAGTCCCCTTTTCTCCACACCCTCGCTAA